TTGGCTGTACACCTCTGCCTAACTATTTTGAAAATTTATATGGGGTTTATTTGATTATATGTAAAAATGCTGGAATTGTTGTGCTTAATTGTTATTAAAGGGAACATTAAACTTTTCTTTATCTGCTCAAGTTCATAACAATTTGAAGGTTCTTGTTCTGGATTAAGGATTGTGAAATTGTTGGAGCGGTACAGTTAATAACTCCTCGGAGAGAATAGGTTCTGATTATTGTTGATTTCTTATTTATTTAATTTGGGACTTTGCCTATTGGAATTAAATATTGAGAATTGTAGTACATATAATTTAGTAGTGATTTTGATTATTAGTAGTTTTTTTATTGTGATCATGAGAGGGAGTTATTATTTGCAGCTTGTTCTCAAGCTTGGTTTATTTTTAATTGTTTAAGAAGTTTGAGTTTAGGGTGTGTTTGTCTCCCATTATTAGGAGAAAAATGGTGTAATGAATACTATTTTTTGGAGAATGTGTGGTTGAAATTTAAATTAACTTTATTGGTTTGTGTGTAGAATATTTTATTGGGTGAATGTGTGGTGGAGAATTTTACTGTAGCAAACAATTTTTTTGAATTAATGGTAGACAAAGAAGGGCTTAGTATGGCGTTTGTCTTAATTTTGATCTTTCGTTCATTTTATTTTGCTTTTAGAATCTAGAATGTCACACAATCAACCTCCTATGAAGAAGGAAAAAGATTTGTGTTCATTATTCTTTAAAAGACAGATGAGGCCAATGACAATACACCTTCTCGATCTAACGAGAAAACCTCGATTTCTGTGCACTACCCCATTCAGTTATCGCTTCATAAGCATATATAACTTGCTGAGCAATAATTTAGANTTTTTGAATTAATGGTAGACAAACATGGACTTAGTATGACGTTTGTCTTAATTTTGATCTTTCGTTCATTTTATTTTGCTTTTAGAATCTAGAATGTCACACAATCAACCTCCTATGAAGAAGGAAAATGATTTGTGTTCATTATTCTTTAAAAGACAGATGGGGCCAATGACAATACACCTTCTCGATCTAACGAGAAAACCTCGATTTTTGTGCACTACCCCATTCAGTTATCACTTCATAAGCATATATAGGCCTCGTCTGGGAGCAATTGAGCATTTTCGAGAATCAATTTTCACGTCATTTTCATGTACAGTGCAAAACCTATTTAAGTCAACAAAGGTGG